AAACACAACCCGCCACCATACGGGACCTCGGCGAAAAGCGCAACCCAATGTGCCTCAGGTCACCAAGTGGCAGGGACCCCTGGTGGGGGCCCTTGCAGAGGCCTGGGGAGGGGCTCCGTGTGTGCTTTGCAGAAGTCGGGTCCTTCAATCACCCCCAAGACCCTCCAACACCCTCAACATCAGCAGCCTGCCAACAACCCGAGCTCACGAGGACACGGAGCCCCCCACGTGCTGCTGCCCCCAGGGAGGGGGTTACGAAGTTCAGCGTCAGAGTGACAGGTGCCACTGTCACCCAGCAGGTGCGGGTCATGGTGGCTGGTGGGCTGCAAGGAGCTGCCTGGGGAGCAGGTGCCAGCCCCACCCCTGCATGAGCAATGGAATCCCAGCATTGAACCCTACCCAGCTTCCTTTGGGTGGCGGCCTTGGCCATTTGTGATCAGCGGTCGTGGCTGCTGAGCCCTGCTAAGCTGTGCGACATGTTTGTCATCCATTTGTTTGGCAACATTCAGGCATTGTGTGGTGTCACAGGCAGCAGGGACGTTCATCCCGGACAAAACACCGGTGCATCCCACAGAATGGAGGCTTGACCCTGAATTTCAAAGGCTGACTCTGAGGGGCTGAAGTGCTGGACCCCACGGAGGAGCCGGACCCCAAGAACTTTTCAGAAGCTAACCCCGGGACCGCAGCAGGTGCAGTGCAGGCAGGCAGGCACCAGTGTCAGTGGCAGGGCGGGGCCCACAGGGAGGCGGAGCCAGGCTTGGCTGGCAGGTGGCCAGGCTAGCCCAGGAGGGATGGGGCCTTCCTCCTGGCAGGTGCCTGGCCTGCACCTGCCAGATGTAGCTGCCCACCTGGGGATTGATGGGAAAGTGAATCCCAGGTACCAACCCACTGTCACCTGCCCATCACCTGAAGGTGAGGTGGCCACAGCGCACAGTGCAATAAGCCCAGTGCGAATGGCTGACCCCGCTCTGCTCAGCGATTGGATCCATGGAAGAAAACGGCCCACTCTTTGCAAGGAGCACCAGAGGGGACCCTCCCCTGGAGCAGACCCCCAGGGTCCCGCGCCCGAGGCCGCGGCCTCACCCCAGAGCCCTTCCCAGCCCCAGGCCGTCTCCAGGGCGGCTTCCCCGCAGGGCATGTGTATCGATCAAGGCAGGGGATGTCGAACACCTGTGAAACACCTCGATGCACCTGGCTCCTGACAGACGGCGCCTGCTGGACCCAAGGATGGGGCGCTCTCTGTAAATGCTGGCAATGTTACAAAAAAAAATTAGATGGAGCAGGTGCTGTGGCATAGCAGGTAAAGCCGCCGCTGCAGTGCCGGCATCCCATATGGGCACCGGTTCAAGTCCTGGCTGCTCCACTTCCAATCCAGCTCTGATGGAAGAAGCTCCCAGCTCCTGGCTTCGGATCGGCCCAGCTCCAGCCGATGCGGCCATTTGGGGAGCGAGCCAGCAGACGGAAGACCTCTCTCTGCCTAATACATCACTCTTTTTATATAGGAATTTGTGCCAGCCTGCGGTGTGCCCAGGAAGCAGGGTGGCCTCCTTGGCAGGGAGTGGAGCGCGGTTTCACCTTCCCGCCTCTGTGGTCACCGGGGTGGGGTTGGGGGGGACGAGCGGTCTGCCCCAGGCGGGCCAGGTGAACACGCGCTCTGGCAGGGCCTGGGACCCTCCCTCGGGGTCTCATCGTTGAGGAGGCGACTTGTGTCTCGGGAGCGGGGACCAGGGCGTGCGTGGTCGCCCGTGGTCTTCCCAGCCAGCGTTCCCGGAGACTCTGGCTAAACAGCAGGGGTGCGGCACCTGCTCGCCGCCCTCCAGGAGGCCCCTGGCTGCCCACAGGTGTGGGAGAGGGAGGGACTCTCGGTGGGGTGGCCACACCTGCTGCCAGCGTCCCTGGGGGTGGGGGGCCGGGTAGGTGCACTGCCTTGGTCTTTGCAGGCCTGGGAGAGTTGCATGTCCCAGCCTGGGCTTCCGTGAGTCTGTGCGGTGGGGGGGGAGGGGACTTTTTTTTTTTTTTTTTTTTTTTACTTTGGAAAGAATCCCAAATGCAAACAGCCTCATGGAAGGAAAGCAGCGTTTCCCGCCACCAGGAACTCTGCAGGGGTTCAATGCCGCTGGGGGACATCAGAGACCCCGCTTGGACCCTGCGGGGGGTAGGGGCCGCCCCAGCCTGACACGTGTGGTCTTCAGAGTTCTGTGTTACTCAGACTTAACCCTCCCAATAGCCCTAGGAGGTAGGTCCCATTACTAACTCCCCATCCCCAGAGGGGGAACCCAGAACCCACCCTGGTCACAGCCGGGACACGGTACCGAGGTCCCCGCCTCAGTGGGGAGGGGGGCATGCCTGCCTGCTGCAGGTTGAATGAACGCCCTGGCCGCCTGCCTGTAGGAATCTTTTTCCTACACAGTGAGTCGTTAGTGGAACGTGGAACTTAAACAGGGCGCTAAGAGTCGAATACAACGCAAAAAGCCGGCCGCTCACCCCGCCCCCGCCGCCCCCCCCCCCACCAGATGTCCGAGGAGGTGCGGTTTTGTGGGGATTTTTACCAGCACAGGTTGTGTCTCCTGGTTGAGCGGCCGCCAAGTTAAAACAGCCCTGGCAGGTGTGCCGGTCCGGCGAGACCCAACTAGGACATGGAACCAAAAAAACACCCAGAAACAGGAAACCTAGGGCCTTACCCGCAGAGCCCGGAGGGGCGGCGGGCCGAGGGGCCGAGGGGAGCCCAGGGCGGCCGGGAGCTCCAGCCCCAGGTGGGGAGCGAGCCAGGGAGGAGACTGGCCGGCTTCACGGGCCCCTGGGCGTGGCCTCGGGGCTGAGCCCGTGGAGGGAGCGGTCAGCAGTGGTGGGTGTGGGGCCGAGACGGGAGCCAGCTGTGCCGCAGGCACGCACAAGGGGGTCGGGGGGCGCAGTCTGAACTCACAGGGGAAGGGCACGGCCGGGTTTCAGCAGCTCCTGTCAGGCCCACGTGGGTGCCGGGCCAATTTACGGCAGGCGCCTTTCTGGTGAGCCGGTGCACACCTGGGCTTGCGCCCTCCAGGTGGGGCCGTTTCTCCCCTCCCCTGAGGTCCAGGTGACACCGCTGGGCCTCCCTGAGGCGGGGCAGGTCAGCACGGAGCCGATCCTTAACCCGGAGAACACAACCGTGTCCCCGTGACCCAGCGGGAGCTGCCCGTGTGCCAGGACTGCCAACGTGAATCGCCCACTGCGGAGGGTCTGGGTGGTGGCTGGAACGTGGGCAGCCAGGTGCGACACGAGCCCTGTGCGGATACGAGGCCCCGGCTGTGGGGCTGCGCGGATGTCCTGCGCTCTGCATCCACCCATCAGGTTCAAGGTCCCTGCAGGCGGCCAGCTCGGGTTGCCCCCACGGTCTGCCCGTGTGTCAGCTGGCACGGCGCCCTCCGCACCACGGCCCTCCTTAGAGCCGACAACTCCCTCACACACACACATGCCAGTGAGAAAGACATTTTATTTCTACCTTAGCTGCTACTGGAAATCTTAGACACAGGAGTGGGCGCCCCCTGGTGGAGGAGGGCGGCGTGGCGCGGGTTCGCCACCCAGCGAGTCCCCGTCCCCTCTGGCGCCCGCTGGCGGCTGCGGTCCCTCTTCAGGCCCGCAAAGCCCCCCGCGTGGCTCCGTAGCAGTGACCCCGCGTTCTTGGGCAGAAGCCGCTATGGCGACAAGGTACAAAAAATAAGCATGCAGCCCTTTATTTCGTTTTGCAAAGTCTCTGCTTACAGTTCTGTATATTACATGACTGTTGTACAAATTCACTTATTTACAAAAACACTCGCGCTGTGCAAACTTGGTGCTTCTAAAAACGTCTGGAGAGGCTCCTCCTGCCCAGGCGCCCGACCCTGCCGAGCATGCATAGAAATTCACTTTGGTGTGGGCTCCTCCGTGCCGGCACCTACAGGACTCGGGTTCTGTCTCTATGGATACAGTCACAGAACGGCATCGCGTACACCACCGCACCCTGCGCATTTCACATCCACAACGCAAGAGCGTGGCTGACTCGGTGTCGGAAAACAAGGAAGGGGTTAGATGCTTGCAGACCATGATGAGAGGATCCTGTGTTTAAAAAGGAGGGGGAGGAGGGGGAGGAGGGAGAGGGGAGGAGGGAGAGTGGGAGGGAGGAGAGGGGGAAGGAGGAGGGAGGAGGAGGAAGAGGGGGAGGGAGGGGAGGAAGAGGGGGAGGGGAGGAGGAGAGGGAGCAGGGGGAGGGGGAGAAGGGGGAAAGGGAGTGGGAGGAGGAGGGAGGAGGAGGGAGGAGGAGGAGGGGGAGGAGGGGGAGGGGAGAAGGGGGAAAGGGAGTGGGAGGAGGGATGGAGGAGGAGGGAGGAGGAGGGGGAGGAGAGGGGGAGAGGGAGCGGGAGGGAGGGAGGAGGGAGAGAAGGAGGGGGAAGGGGGAGGAGGAGGGAGAGGACAGGGAGGGGGGAGAGGAGAGGGGAGAAGGGAAAAGGGGGAGGAGGGAAGAGGAGGAGGAGGGAGAGGAAGGGTGAGGGGGAGAGGAGGAGGGGGAGGGGAGTGGAGGAGGGAGAGGACGGGGGAGGGGGAGGAGGGGGAGAGGGAGAGGAGGGAGGGGAACGAGGGGAAGGAGGGGGACAGGGAGCAGGAGGCGGGAGAGGACGGGACGGGGAGAGGAGGAGGGGGAGGAGGGGAGGGGAGGAAGCGAGAGGAAGCGGGCAGCAAGCGGAAGCGCACGGCCCCCGGCCAGCGTCCCCAGCGCCCTCTCCAAGGCGCCCACGGGCAGCCCGCCCCGCTCGGCGTGGAGCGCAGGGCAGGTGCGCGTACGATGCTCCAGTATCAAAATGTCTTGGCAAAAAAGATCTCGAAAGGAACCATGAAGTTCTGACAAAAATAGAAATCTGTAATAAAGCTCTAACACTAAATAAAAGGAACTTCCGTAGACTGTTTCACGCTTTGTATAGTCACACTCGGGCACCTCTGATGGCTTCCAGTCTCCGATGGGAACATAGTTTCATACAAAACACGCGCGATGCCGGCTTCACGCTGCTTCACACGCCTGGCGCGCGTCTTCGGGTCTCTCTCGCACGCACGCCGCACGCACGCACCTGCGCCTCACCCTCCCCGGAGACAGACACACGCTCACTTCACGGGGGCACTGGCACGGACGGGCAACACGCGGAATCACGACAGCGACCGGGTGGAGAGGCGGGCGGCGGCTGCGGGCTCCGTGCTCCCGGCCCCGGCGCCCAGGACTAGGCGCTCTCCTTGGCGGCGACGGGCGCGGTCTTGCTGGAACCTCCGTTCTGCGCCTTGTAGCCGGCAAGGCCAGGGCCCGAGCAGCGTCCGGGCGCCCTTGGCGCCGTGACTCAGGGAGGGGGGGAGGCGGGGGAGGCGGGAGGGCGCGGGAGGGGCGGCGCGGCCGTTGTGAGTCTGCGGGGGCAGCGGCAGGTGCTGGCCTTTGCCTGCGTGCGCCAACTTGGAGGCGCCGTTAGAGGCGGAGGGGATGAGGGAGGCGGCGGGGGCGGGCCGTCCTGCGGAGGGGCTGAGAGGGTTAGAAGCGGCCGATGGCTTAGGACGCGGGCGCGTTAGGGAGGCTGGAGCCGTCACCGCTAGAGGGGAGAGAACCGCTTTTTCCCAGAGCTGGGGGACAGGGCAGGGATCTTAGAGGCAGGCAAGGAGGGAGAGGTAGGCTTAAAGTCCCCCACCAGCTTTCTTAGCACTTCCATTGGCCTGCAAACAGAGACGGCGGGGGAGGGGGAGACAGGGTCAGAAGCCGGCCGCGAGCCCCTCACAGGGACAGCACGGCCCGCCCGGGAGCCACTCACAGACACACCACCACCGTGTCCAGGCATGAGCTGTCTGTGCCGTGGCACCTGCCAGAGCCCCCTCCCCCCAGGTGCACAGCACAGGGAGCCGAGAACCGGTGCCCCCCACCCCCCCGGCGGAGTTAAGGCGCTGCTGACTCAAGGACGTTAGTGTGGGACCGAGGGCCGCGTGCGCACAGCTGGGCTTGTCTCTCCCTGGTGTCCTGGTCGCACGCTCAGGGCAAAGCCAGCGGGCCTGGCAGCGCGCGCACAGTTAAAACGTGGAGTCGCCAACGTCAAGGCTGTCTCGTCGCGAGCGTGCAAGAGCGTGGAGAGGGCTCCAACAGCGGCTGCTAGCCCTGCCTCGTGCCCACCCGAGCCCGCCGGCCGCGGCCGCCACCTGCTCTACGCTACGGCTTGCTGAACCGCGATAGTGTCCGTCCAAGTTGGGGGTTAAGGCAAAACTACCTGGCGGTACTGGCGCGGGTCCTGCAGCTTGGACGGCTTGCCGGCTTTGTCCAGGCTCCCGGGTCTGCTCTTGGAAGTCAGGGGCACTGGCATTCTGCTGGTCTGGGGGGTCCCGCCGGAGCCCTGCGGGAAAGAGCGGCGAGACGGGGGAAGGGGAGAGTATGAGCGCCTTGTCCCGGAGGCTGCCCTACTGTGTGCTGAGAAGCCCGAGGTGCAGAGCCCCCGCCCGGCATGCAGGAGAGACGGAGGAGACACCGACTGGGGTTAATCGGAAGAACCAGACAGAATCCACCGCTCACTACTGATCCAACGGATTTTAATGTGAGTACCAGAGCAATCGTCCATCTCCACAGCACACGGCGGACCCAGCACCCTGGCGTGTCCCCGACCACGCTCAGCCGCAGGTGCACACACACTCGATTAGCTGTTAGACACCTAAGGCCGCTGGACTGGCAGGTGGGGAGACAGCAGGACAGACGGGGCCTCGCGGCGCACAGACAACACCAGCACCAGCACCCACAACCACGCGAGCTGCCCGCTAGGAAGCGACTGAATCACCAGACACCTTCTGCTAAGGGCAATTATTGGCAGATTTAGGAAAGCGGCTGCCGCTTCGCTCCACGCCAGACCACGGTACCTTACGCGGAGCTGGCGGTACTGGCGTGGGGGGCTCTGGGGCAGTGGGCACGTCATCCCGCACTAGCAGGGTGTGGGGAGGGGGCCCGTGGGCCGCGTGGGCGGAGTCGGCGAGGGCTCGGGGGCTCATCTCGCTGATGGTGTTTTCCAGCTGTTTGATGGTCTGCTCCAGGCTGTCCAAGGTCCGGTAGGTGTTCTTCCGGATCTCCTCGGTCCGTGAGCTCTGGGCCGGGCCCTCGAGCGCCCCCTCGGGCTGCGAGCTGGGGATTTCGAAGCGCCGGGCTTCCTTGTGCTGCTTCAGGGTGCCGTCTTCCTCCTCCTCCTCGTACACCACCACCTGCAGCGTCTTCTTCCCTGTTCTGGTGCCGGTGCGGATCGCCTGCGTGAGCGCGGCCAGCTGCTTTTTGGGGAACTTGAATTTGAACTTCTTCTTGGGGCTGTCAAACTGCTCGTCGGCTGCATCGCCCCTGCCCTCGGGACTCAGAGCGTTCTCCCGGGCCCGACTCGTTCAGGTCGGCTTTCCTGGGGCCCTGCTCCCTGCCACCAGCGGCGAGGGCAGCGGGAACGGGCTCTCGGCGGGCTGTGCTGTCCCCAGAGTGCCTGAGGCCACCGTGGAGGCAGGCCCGGGGGCGGAACTGCTCTGGACGGGGTCCCCATTCTCCTCCTCTTCCTCCTCCTCTATCTTCTCCTCTGTCATCATTCTCTCCACACTCCTCGTCGCATTCCTCGAAAATGGTGGACAGCCTCTTGTAGGCAGAGCGGATGTCCATGGGCTCGTCGAAGATGATGATGACGGGCTTCCTGTCCAGGCACACGACGGGCTCCTCGGGCCCCGGCCCCTCCCGCCTGCCGTCGATGGTCACCGTCTGCACCTCCTCCCCCTTGCGGCTCACGATGTCCTGCACCTCGCCGCTGGACAGCGCCTGCACGGCCGTCCTGGTGATCATGAAGGCGATGTTGCCCTCGCTCGGGGGGCCCGGGGTCGGGTCCCCGTTCTCGGCGGGCGGCACGGGCGCGTGCCTGGCCCCTTTGGGTCTGAGGACAACTTGGCCCACCCCTGTCGGCGGCGCCTCCGGGCCTGGGGCTTGAGCCAGCTCTGTCGCTGGGGTCAGGGAGGGAACGTGGGCCCTTCCTGTGTGCTCCCCTCGTTCTTGCTCTCTCTCCTGGGTCTTTCCGTAGTTCTGAGCCTCCAGGCCCGGCGTGGGGAGCTGCGGCCCTGCCACGGCTGGTCGTTTGCTTCGCTCGTCTTCTAATGAGCTCACGCTGGAGACGCTGAGACTGGCCTCCACCGCGCGTTTCTGGAAGTTTCTAGCGTCACCGGGTATGGAGCTCTCCTTCCCCGACACGTCGGGTTTGGATTCTGCAGCTGTGGACGCATCAGGAACACCGTTCTTGCCTGTGTCCCGGCTGGGGGCGCCACCAGGGCTCAGAGCCCCTGCCGCGACCTGAGAGGGAGGGGAGTGGGGAGGGAAACCACACACGTTAGTCGGATGCGGCTGCCAGGCTGGGAATTCATGTGCACGGCTAGCAGGTGCAGCACGGGCCTGAGGGGCTCACCTGTGGCGAGGCCGTGTGGGGGCCGTGCGGGCGCGCAAGCTCAGATTTCCACGCGTCTTCATGGGGAAGCTCCGAGCTCTGGCAGAACAGTGCAGGACACGTTACGGCACGGGCCACCCCTCACCGTGCTCTCCCACTAAGCGCCTCCTGTAATCACACTTCCGAAGCCCGTGGGCCAGGCGCCCTCTGAACACGTGGGGGTGAGGCCGACTGCTCTGCCTGCCTGGCAGCGCTTTGTCCGCCAGCTGCAGGAAATGCCCTGGGTTTGCGCACACGGAAACCTCAATGAGGGAACTACAGGTCGAGGGCGGCCTGGGCGCGAGGAGAAAGACAGACGGGCCGGCCCGCTGCGGCTCAGCCTCTGTGGGACACCTTGGCAGGAGCCCAGCACCGCGGGGAGGTGCCTGTGCGGGCTGTGCTTGGCTGTGGCACTGGGGGCCGTGTCTCCTCGTCTGTGAACTGAGGATCTCCACGGGGGGGTGGGGTTGACACCCCTCCCAGCAGGGATCTCAGTCCTGTCTCTGCCTCCATTAAGGAACCTGTGCACGAACACTTCCGAGACGTGGGCTGCGGTCCCCTGGGATGAGCAAAGCAAGCACCGGAACTTAAAGTGCCAGCATCAAGATGACCTCCTGACGCGGCTCAGCCACGAGGACCCAGTCCAGACTCAGGGCGGCCCACGCCGCCGCGGCGGGATCTGAGCCTAAGGCTGCGTGTCAGGGCTCCGCTGTTATCCTCCCCACGCGGATGCGGAGCGAAGACGTGTCCGAGGCCTCGGGCTGAGCAGCCAGCAGCGCGGCCCCTCCCTGCCCTGGCCCGCCGTGCCAGCCCGGCCTTGTCCCTGCTGGCCTTCCTGCTGTGGAAGCCCAGGCACAAAGGGCGACTGTAGCAGGACAGGGCCCAGGCCGTTCAGTGGAGCACGGCGCAGCGACCCAGGCTGAGTGCAAGTGAACCCAGAGCGCTCGCATGGTCCCGGTGAACACGGGAGGAACGCTCATTCACAGCCAGCAGTAACGCACAGAACCCAGGCCGTGTCCATCCCGAGGAAACACCCGCGAGCACGAGGAGCGGGAGCCACCCAGCGCCTCCTGCTACACGTCCCCTGGGCTCCCCTCCTCCCACCCACTCCAACCCCAGCAAAGCCCGCACACAGGTGCACGGCTCCGCCGCACAGCTAAACCACTTTCTTTGGTGCCGCTTTAAATTCAGATGGTAGCGCAATCAAGGATGTTTGGCCCCACACTTCAACTTCACACACAGATCGGGCCCATTCTGCTGGGAATGGACCCTCGCGTGAGGAGAAACCAGGGCTGGCGCCTGCCCTTGTCAGTCACAGGGTGTGTGCACCCGCCGTCAACTATCCTGAGGGTCTCCCTGCCATGTGTGTGTTTTAGCAGGGATCCGGTCCCAGGACCACTCCAGCGGAAGGTCGCTGGGTCTGGGTGTCACGTGGTCTTTCACTTCGGTCACTGGGCTAGAGGTCGCATCCACCCATCAAAGCAGACACCCCGATTTCACCCAGAGAACTCGGCCACCTCTGGCAGGCAAGCCGACACGCTCTCCTGGGCTTCGCAGCTCGAGCAGCGTGGACGATGGTTATGGCTCGCTCTTATCTGCTCGCAGGTCCCGAGGGTGGGGGTGCTGGAAAGCGGAGGAGCACACGCAACAGACCCCCGCGTAGAGACAAACCTGCGTCACAGCGAGGCACGGGGCTGGGCCTTCCAGGTGACGTGAGAGGGTTTCAAGGGGACACCCGACTTACGGAGGGCAGCCGGGCAGCCCAGGAAGAGGTTAATAAAGGCAAAACTAGGGGACGAGTGAAGAGTGCCCGTCACTCGGTGAGACCTGCACCTGCTGTGGGCTGAGATCCATGAGACCCAAGGGGTCTGGTGTGCGAATGGGAGAGCGGGGGTCAGCTCGCCGCTCTGGCCAGAGTGCAGTCTGCGACACCCAGCCGTCGTCTCCAGGGGCGTCTCCCCAGTTCCCAGCAGGGTTTCAGACAGAAAGGGGCCCTCCAAACGTTGGTCCTCAAAGGCCCCCAAGCAATCCCACACGCTGGTGGACAAGCAGTACGTCCCCAGCGTCACAGGCTCACTTCTAACTGGGAGGAGGTCTGCAAGGGAAGGACTGGTCAGCAGCAATCTGATGAGCTCTCCCAGGCCTAGGCAGGCCCTCCTCCCCCACTACGGGCCTCCTGTGTCAGTTACACGGCAGGTGCAGGGCCCCAAGGGCCGCGATGCTGTGAGCCCAGGACTGACTCTGACAGGCTGGTGGTGTCAGGGTGGCCCACCCACAGGGCGCCCCTGGATCTTCCTCACCAAGCTTCCTGCGAGCCCAGGCCCCCACTGCCTTGCCTTTATCGGAGGGAAGCGGGCTCTCTGCGTTGTTAAGCGTCAGTACCTGGGGAGAAACGCTAGGGCCTGAGTGGGTCGCCAGCAGCCTGTCTCCTGAGATTCAGAGGCTTGCTTCCAACAAGCTTCTACTCCCACTCCAGTCAAGCTCCAGCCCCCCTTCACGGAGAGACCAGCCCAGCGGTGCATAGGGAACGTGGCAGACCGTGCCTCGGAACCCGGGCGTCCGTGTGGAAGCCACCAGTGTATCCGCACCAAGACGATGCCGAAGGCCCACTTTAAAGACTGCCAGAGGGGGCGAGGATGTGGGCAGCCTCCCCAGGCAGGTGCTGAGCACTCCTGCTTCCATGAGAACGCGCCCAGGAAGGAAGGCAGATGTTCCCGCCACCTGTCCTTCCTCAACATAAAGCTTTTCCCTGTTTTTAAACACGGATTTGTTTTCTGGTCCGTGTGCACCGTCTTCCGGAGCTGCTCTGATTTGAGGGGCGGGAACTCTCTAGAGGGGAAGGTACTGTCTACAGTGCGCTCTCTGGAAGCCTGAGCCACACGTCGCTCACCTCCACGGAAACCTGTGTCTCTGTTCATTAGCAAAGAGGAGGGAGAGAGAGAGAGAGGGGGAAGGCCCGGTGGGGAGAGCCGTGTTAGTGCTGGGCGAGGAGGGGAGGGCCGTGGGCCGGTGGCACGCGTGTCACTGCCTCGTTACCTTTCTCTCCTTGGCTGGGGCTGTGGCGCCCGGCCTAGTGTCAGCCCGGGGCTGCTCAGCGAAACTGTTTGAGTTTACATCCATAAAGGAACACTTCTGGAAGGCCTGAGGAATTAAAATACTGAGGTTAACAGGGATCTGAGTGCACCGGCGGGGCAGGGACGCAGGGAGAGCTGCAGAAGCGTGGGAGGCAGGACCCCGCTCCCCCGGCCTCACGGGGCCAGGCCGACACGGGGGGCTGAGCCCTGGGGAGAGGCCCCGGCTTGTCTGGGCCTCCCCAGATCGCATGGACAGAGAGCAGGACACGCTTCCTTCACACTGGGGTGACCCTGACCTGCACGCTTGGGGGCGGTGCTGCCTGCTTTGCCCTCTACACCGTGTTGAATGTGTGAAAGCTGTCTTCCTGGTTTTTTCCTTTAGACCAGCCTGACTGACATTACAGGAAGAAGGCCCACAGAGACTTCAGCCTTTCATCCCTGAACGCGTGCAGTGTTTCCCTCTGAAATGAAATGGCAACAGGTGCTATCATGCCCTGCGGTGTATGAGGGACTTCAAAAAGTTTGCAGAAAAAACAGAATTAAAAGGTTAGTTTAGTCTTGTGTAAGAAAACTGTGAAATTGGGGCCAACGCTGTGGGGCAGTGAGCTAAGTCACTGTCTGTGACGCCAGCATCCCATATGGGCCCTGGTTTGAGTCCTGGCTGCTCCACTTCTGATCCAGCTCCCTGCTAACGCGCCCAAGGCAGACGATGGCCCAAGGGCCTGGGCCCCTGCCACACATGTGGGGGACCTGGAGGAAGCTCCTGGTTTCTGGCTTCGGCCTAAGCCCTGGCCACTGTAGCCATCTGGGGAATGAACCAGCGGATGAAGATTCTCTCTCACTGTACCTTTCAAATAAATAATCAATCTTAAAAAAAAAAAAACTGAAATCCATGCCTAGTTTTTCATATTACGTATTTTTCCTTAACTTTTTATTTGAAAGGAAGAGAGGGCAAGAGAGAGAGGCCCTATCACCTCTCCCCCAGAGTCTGCACTGTCTGGGGATGGGCCAAGGCCAATGCCGGGAGCAGGAACTCAATCAAGGTCTGACATGCGGGTAGCAGGGCCCCAACCACTTGCGCCACCACCCCTGCCCCCAGGGTCTACACTGGCGGGGAGTGGATTCAGATGCAGAGCCAGGAATCGCACTCTAGTGCTCTGCTGTGGGGTATGGACGTCTTAACCACCAGACCAGCGCTCACCCACAGGAACGTTCTGGAGTGCCCTGGTGTTTAGGATAAGGAGATGCTCGCTAGCGCCCAGCTGGTTCTTGGTAGCCAAGGAGTTGCGTAAGCCCTGGAGGTTTGTCTCTGGACACCACCGAGCCATGACCGGAACAGCCACGGGCTGGCTCCTGTGAACACTGAGACTGGAAGGCAAATTTTCAGGGCCGGCGGGATGCAGACTACGAATGAATGACTAAGTATGTCTCTGTTGGGTCTATAGGGCTCACAGGGAAGTGGGTGTCCAGAGCGCGTCTAGATGCTGTGGCTGTGAGACCAGGAGAGACAGGGACCCGGGGACTCGGGTTCATGGAGCCCAATGTTCTCTCCTGGGCTGCAAATCACCCCGGAGAGAGAATGCTGTCTGCAAGGCCTCCTACCCCTGCTGGAAAGGGTTCTGCACACCCCACCCCCTTCTCAGGGTGACTCTCATGTGCTGCCAGGAGTAAAACCATGGCTCTACCGGCTCATCCTAACGGCCACTGTCACTTAGAACCGCAGGCAGACTGGGATGCATGGCCACCCTAAGTGGACACACGGCGCTGGACACAGAATCTGAATGGAGCGCATGACAGGGCATTCCCCTGCCCGGCCATTGTTCTAGGACGTGGCCCTGCCGTGCTGGCTTCCGGGCTGTTCCTCGCACGGGCTGGGCTGGGCGTGCTGGGCTCCTCTGCTCGCCCACAGCTGCCCTGGCTACGGCCACGCTCCACGTCCTTTGGGCTCTCAGCTGGAGCTGCAGCCTGTGTCTTCCTCTGACGCCTGGTGACACAGAGCATGGAGGGAAGCAGGCCCTCGGCTCTCCTGGAGGGGCCGGGCAGCCCCTCGCCCTGCCTCAGGGCACACACAGCTGGAGCAGCTCTGTCGGGCTCTCTGCTGTCACGGGCGGGCGGGGGTGTTATTTCAGCCAGACGGCCTGTCTCCTGGGAAGTGTTCCGTCCAAAGGAGGACCCCAGATCTGGGCCCGATTAATGGTGGGACACAGCTCCACAGGGTGAACCGCAGGCGTGGCCCCCCTTCTGGAACAGTCCTGGCTTGTTTATAAGCGCCAAAGACACCAGCTTGATGACCCCAGTGTTCCCACGGGTAAGGCTCTGGAAACAGCGTGGCTGACCACAGGGACGCCCCGCACCAGGCCCCCCCCCCCCCCCCAGCAGCAGCTCTATTTTGGCAGTTACTGCCGTGGAAACGACGTAGGACAGGTGCCGGGAAACGCTGTGTTCTGATCAGTTCCCTTACTGCACAGGGAAGGAAGACCCACGGGCGCGCAGGGAATCACCTGAGGGTTCGTGTACAGGCAGCACGTGCTGGAGCCCCGAGGAGGCCGTGGTCTGACCTTCCGCTTACAGAAACACCCCCCCCACCCCCCCGTAAGTGCGTCCGTCCAACCGACACACGCCGCAGCACGGGGGCTGGAGCTGTGCACGCGTCCTGGGTCAGGCGTGTTCCAGTCACACCCGTGGTCTGAAGGTGAGGTCATTTTCACGTTTAGCACCTTCACCCTACCCTGAGCCCATCCGCAGACCGCAGCAGAGGGTTACAAATGAAACATCTCAAACTACTACCGCTTCTCAAACAGGCACGGGAGCCAGCCAATGAGACGACTGGGCTTCTCAGGAAGCTCGACAAGGGGATGCTGAGCTGAACGGGACCACAGGGGAGCTACAGGAGGCTGGCGCTCCTCGTGTGAATGCCAAAGAGGGGGCCCGTCGGAAGCCAGCTTCCACCAGAGCTCAGCGAGGCTGCACACCCGCTGGGTCCCGCCTTGGCAACCTCTGGCATGAAGCAGACACTCTGGAGACGGAGGGGAAGGCCAGCGAGTGCTACCAGCTGGCGCCAGGAACGTGTGCAACTGCTTCTCTGTAGGAGTCTCAGAGCTGGTCAGTGGGCCGCCGGCTCTCACAGGCCACACTGGTGCTGCGGGCGCCTGGCTCGGCTCCACCTTGGGCGGGGGCAGCCGCAGCAGGAGACGCACCTGCTCTCTCCGGCCAGCATGTCTGTGAGCACTGGGCAGTGAGTCCCAGACGCCCTGCACGTCATCCACATACCTGCAGCTCTGCCATTATTTTGTCTCCTTCCTCTTCCTCCTCCTCGTCCTTGGGAGACGCAGTGACTGCTGGTGAGGCCGGGGTCCAGGCTGAGGCGGGCTCCTCTGTGGAACACCGGGTGGCTCTGGTCTGTGGGCTCGGTCCGGCGTCCTCGCTGCTCGCCTACGGAGAGTCAAAGCACAGATGCTGGCGTCACGCCAGCCAGGAGCCAGCGAGCGGGGGACACGTGGTGCCCACGGCCTACACCGCTGACTGTGCAGCTCTCCCCGTCTAGCAGAGGTCTGCTGTCTGCCCGGTGTTGCGTTTGCACTTGTATGTGCACCAGCTGCCACCCTGCTGTGTGCACTGACAATGCTGGAGACATGGCAACTCTTCCACATCCAGCTCTCTCAACTACTTCCTGAACAGCCTCCCACGCCTGTGTCGGCCCGCCTCGGTGACCGCTGCATCCCCACCTTCCCCACACGTGCTGGTCCGATGCCTGCGCCCGTGACCTGCCTTTGACCCGGTCGTGGCCTCAGCCAAGACAGGATCCCACCTGGGATCCTAGTGACCGCTCCCCTCCACGGCACCTGCCTGGGTCCACCCAGGTCCCCCGCCGCGCACCTCCCCCATCCAGCCCAGTGTCCGCCTCTCTTCTCTGCCTCGCGCCTGCTCTGAGAGTGACCTCTGGACCTGAAACCAGCATGCCAGACCTTGGCCGTGACGGTCTCCTTCCTGCTGGTGTAGACCACGTCCCCCGACCTCGTGGTGGTGAGCCCGGTTCCCGGCAGGTAGCTTCGCCGAGGGGGCGGGGGAGGAGGGGGTGGTGACTTTCCCCCCTGCTCTGAATTTGGAGAGTCTTCTGGAAAACAGGGTGACATTGCAAACATCACCTCTCTGCGAGATCCCGTCCACGGGTCAGTGTGGGCTGTAACAGTGCCGTCCCACGGAAGAATTCCCTGCACGGAGTGATGACTGTGGGTGTAGACCCAGACCCAGAGAGACCCTGCGTGAGCATCCACCTCTACCTCGGTTTCCTCACTTGTCAAATGGGTAGAACAGTAGCACCCTCGGGGCCCGTGTTGTGGCTCAGCGGGTTAAGCTGTGCTTGCAGCGCCAGCATCACGTAAGAGCACCGGTTGGTGTCCCGGCTGCTCCACTTCTTCGTCTTTTTTTTTTTTTCTTTAGAAGTTTATTTTACTTATTTGAAAGAGTTACAGAGAGAGGAACAGAAAGACAGAGAGGTCTTCCATCTGCTGGTTCACTCCCCAGATGGCCACAAAGGCCAGAGCTGCGCGGATCCAAAGCCAGGAGCCAGGAGCTTCCTCCAGGTCTCCCACGTGGGTGTAGAGGCCCACAGACTTGGGCCATCCTCCACTGCCTCCCGGGCCATAGCACAGAGCTGGATCGGAAGAGGAGCAGCCAGGGCACCAACTGATGCTCATATGGGACGCCGGCACTGCAGGCAGCGGCTTTATCCACGACGTCACAGAGCTGGACCCCTCACCTCCTGCCCAAGATTCTTGAGCAGAGAGACACAGGCCCAGTGACCAGACCCCATCCAGGGGTGGCACCACACAGTGCCCTGGGCGTCCACGGGGATCCGGAGCTCACCTGAGAGCTCCAGCTTGTCCACTGTGCCCTCTCCCCTGGGTGGCAGGCCCGGCGCGGGCGGCATCTCCAGGTTTGGAATGGACTTCATGATGTTGGCCTGAGCTTCCTCCAGGAGCTTCTCAAACTCTTTGCCGTTGTAGTGGTCCGGGTTCGGCCTTTTCTCTTCCCATTTCTTTTCAACTTTCTGAAGGGAACCAGCAAGTGAAGAAAGATTAGGGGAAAAAAAAAAAGCAAACAAACACGAGAACCCAGAGGGAAAGCGTATGGCCGTGTTGGGGATTCCTGTTGGGGTGGGGGGGTGGGCGTGGACGGAGGACAGCCTGGGCCCAGGCCCCCCCTCCCTTCTGCTGCCACCTGTGCTGGGACAGGTGCCGTCTGGCCCAGTGACACTCCCAGAGCACTCAGATCAGGGGATGTGGCACACACGCCGGTGAGCACCCGGGTCACGCGCGCCTAGGGGCTGTCTCCTACTACCAACTCTGTTTTCTCCCGTCGTGGGGCTGGGGGCAACACCTGCTAAGAACCGAAAACATCCCAAGGCTCAGCTGCACTTAAGTGAAAGAACTGCCACCGGTTAAGACCCCCGGGGACCCCGGGTTCTCACTTTAAAACGGGGGTGGGGTGGGGGGGCATCTAGATTCCGGAGAGTTCTGCAACAGGGAACATAGGAGGAACACATTCCTAAACACCTGCCTACTCTCAAAAACATCTACGCTGTGGCGCAGTGGGTTACACCTCCGCCCGCAGTGCCGGCATCCCATAGGGGCGCCGGTTCGAGTCCCGGCCGCTCCACTTCCGGTCCCGCTCTCTGCTCTGGCCTGGGAGAGCGGTGGAAGATGGCCCCGGCTGGGACTGGGCGTTCACTGGGCCTGGACCCCAGGTGCTCTGCTCTCGGAGGTGGTCTGGCTAGTGGCATCTTGGGCACTGGGTCCACCGCCGGCCCGAGGAGGGGGCACTTGGCGCTTTTGCTGTCTGGGCGGGGCTGGGGGAGGGGTGGTTACACCTGCAGGGGCTCTCCCAGGCCTGTAGGCTGGGCCTCTCTCCGCGCCCGGAGACCCGAGGCCCCGGGCCCCCAACACCCTGCCCGGGAGGGCGCGGGCCGGCGCTACCTCCACGGCCGCGGCTCTGGTCCTGGCGTCCTCCGCGAGCGGGCCGGGCGGGCTCTGCGCCTGCTGCCCGGTCAGGGGCACCACGTCCGGCTTCGCGTCGCCGCGGGCTGGGCCGCCGGCCTCCTCTGGGCCCCTCAGGACCTCCGCGGCCGTGGCCTTCTCCACCGCCATGTAGTGCGCGGCCTGGGCGGCATCGGCGCCCTTCAGGAGCCCGTCGGTCACATGCCTAGGAGAGAGCACGCTGCGCACGCGCAGGTGCGAGGCAGCGTTAGCGGAGACCACTCACTTCCGGTGTCACCCCCTAGCGGGGCCGGCCGGAAATGCTGTTAGAGCAGAGTGTTAGTTCCGGGGTGTGGGTATTCATGGCAACTTCCAGACCCCCTCATGGGGGGTCCCGCAGTTACCCCTGCAGCTGCTTGCTTTGCCCGGTGTGCTGTGGTGCCTGCCGCCATCCCGTCACTGTGCAGGTGCTGGTGCCGTGGTGCGGACAACCTGACCCAACAACACACTCTCTCTCTGCGTGTGGCTTCCATCTGAACCCAGCCCCCGTGGCCCCAGGACACAGTCCTCACCCAGGGCCTCCTGCTGTGTTCCAGATCCTTCTGCTGGGGCTCTCTGGCTGCCTCATCTTCCCACAGGGTCAGCGGTGACCATGACCTTATGTTCAGTCCTCACCCTGCCACGTTTCAGAGTCATGGGAGGCTGTGTGTCCATCCCTGCCCACGGGAAAGACGAGGCCTGGGGGCCAGAGAGTCCTGTGTGTGAGACCAGTTCTACTTGGTCTCACCATCACACCTGGGCATCCCATCTTTCTTTAAAAGCTTTATTATCTATTTATTTGAAAGGCAGAGTGACAGAAAGAGATGGAGGGGGAGACAGAGATTGTTCATCTGCTGGATCACTCCTCAAATGGCCTCCAGGCACAAGCCAGGATCCCAGAATTCCACTGTCCCACGTGGGTGCAGGGGCCCAGTGTTCAGGCCATCTTCCACTGCTTTCCCATGTTCATTAGCAAGGAGCTGGATCTGAAGTAGAGCAGCTGGGACTCTGTCGCTGATACGGGATGCTGGTATTGCAAGTGGGGGCTTAACCAGCTCTGTCGCACTCCAGCCCCACCCCATTCCTATTAAAATGCTCTTTCCTAGGCCGGCATTGTGGTGTGGTGGGTCAAGTTGCTGTCTGCCCTGCTGTCATATCACATGGGTGCTGGTTTAAGTCCTGGCTGCTCCACTTCTCATCCAGCTCCCTGCTAATGCACCTGGGAAAGCAGCAGAAGATGGCCCAAGTGCTTGGGCCCTTGACATCTTCGTGGGAGACCCGGATAGAGTTCCCGTCTCCTGGGTTCAGCCACTGCAGCCATTTGGAGAGTGAACCTGCAGATGGAAGATCTCTGTTTCTTTCTCCCCCCTCTCTCCAATTCTGCCATTCAAATAAGCAAAAATAAATCTTAAAAAAATGCTCTTTCTTCCTTTCTTGATTTGATAAAAGATATCACAAGTCTCTCCTCTGCTCCTCAACTTTATTTCTTGCTCCTTACTTTGCATGTTCAGTGCATTGAATCTCCAAGCCCCGCCCCGCTCTCAGCCCCTCCCTCTGAGTTCAGGCAGGGACCCCCTCTAGCTACGTCTTCTGAACTTCAGCCGACGTCTGCAGTACCCTAGTGGGCACCTCTGTTGGGACGTGGTTCCCGTGTCTCAAGTTCAACATACAGGGACACACGGCTGTGTCTTGGCAAGCCCCCGAGTCTGCTCTGAACTGTGCCTGGTGCCTGCCTTTCCTTCCCCACCACGGTGTGGAACAGGACACGTGCATGACCTCGGGACGTGCGTATTCCCGCCTCGTCCCCTGGGTCCTGATGGCAGCCGAAATGCCCTTCCCATTTCTGTTTATTTCCAGTTATTTAACTGCTGTCCTGCCTCACTCTCCCCACTGGTGGTTTCAGAGACAACACGTCACGTGGCAGTCAACACTGGAGGGAAGGCAGGCACAGAGCTACGTCTTCCACAGGGGCAGAGTTACCTGCCAGGCCGTGGGCTGCCTGTGTTTGCTTAACAAGAGGGGTCCCTCACAAAAGTGCTCCTGGAAACAAACCCTGCCCATGCGTGGACCAGCACAGTGCTAGTGGCCGTGGACTTCTGGAATCTTCTTTTCCAGGGAAGTGCCCGATGAGTCTGTGGTTTCTTTGGGTCCTTTGCTGCATGGTGACCCTGGCTGATGCGGGGGTTCTCCCTCAATGGGGGTGACTGGCTTGGGCCCCTCAAGGAGGACTTGCTTCTCCCTTAATTTAATTAAGACTTGGTTTCAACACCATTCTTCTGTCCTGAAGCAAAGGAGGCAAACCCACTGTTCAGCCTCAAAACGTTCTTGCAAAAAATCCCTCCTTTATTAAAAAAAAAAAAGATGTCTACTGAAGTTTAAGCCCTGGAAGGCACAGTGCAGTAAGCCTGTGTTGCTCAATTAGGCCCTTACGTCACAGAGCAATAGAAATTCAAGGTGGGAGGCAGTCCAGGCTTCTGATCAGCACACCGGAAGTGAGTCCTGATGAGTGACAGCAAGGAGATGGGTGGGACTTGGCAGAGGCGGGGAGTCCTACACTGCAGCCCAGGCCTTCCCGGCCACGCCCCACTCTGGTGGGCCCGCCCAGCCGTCAGCCCCGCCCCTCGGATCCCGCTCTTTTCACTGGGGCCCCGCCCCAGAAGCCCCGCCCCAGGGCCCTGCCCCAGCACAGCAGGTGCGGGGCGGCCACTCACCTGCGCAGCACCGTCAGGACGTCCGTGAGGCCCCGCACCCGCTTCAGGAGCCCGTCCAGCTTGTGCGGCTCCTCCTTCAGGAAGCGCACGGCCTCCACCTCGATGCGCAGGACCGCACGCATCTTGTTCTGCAGGGTGGGGAACTCCCTGCGGGCCAGAGCGGGCAGTGAGATGTCGCGGAGGGGGGCGTGCCTGGGGCGAGGTCAGCTGGGCCTAGGGCCTGTCACGGGAGCCCCTCTCCAAGGGCAGGTGTCCCCAGCAGCGCGCCTCCCCGCCCCCACTAGTGCTGGCTGCGGGCCAGGGTCCGCAGGGCGCTCACCTTTCAGGGCGGCCACGGCTTCTCCCACCTGCCGCAGGAGGAAGGCGCCGTCCTCCACGTCTTTCAGCGTCACGGCACGGCCCGTGGCTGTGGGCTCCTTCTTCAGGTCATCCACGAATTCCTCCAGCTCGCTGCAGGGTGGTCAGACCACAGGCGGGCTCAGCACCCAGGCTCCCAGCCCTGCGCCTCCCACAGCCACCGCGTAACCCCCCGCGGGCACCAGGAAGAGTCCCCAGGTGGGCCCCGGGCTGGCCAAGGGGACACTGTGTCCCGCTCAACAGCACCCACTGGTCACGGCCAGGGGTAGTGATGGCCGCTAAGGGAGGGGCCAGCGCACACTGTGATGGGGGGAGCGGGGCGAGACAGAGAGAGGGGGGAAGGGGACAGAGATGGGGAGGGGGAGGGGTAAGAGGAGGGGAAGAGGGTTGGCAGTAGAGGAGGAGGGGGAGATGGAGGGGGGAGAAAGGGAGAGAGATGGAGAGGATGAGAGGGAGAGAGGTAGGTAGAGGGAGAGAGAGAGGGAGAGAGGTGTTGTGGCTGTGGGATTAGTCCACAGGTCTTTAACTTCAGCCTTTGGCATCTTTCGTGTGTGTAGGGGCAGGGGCTGTCTTGTGCCCCCTCAGGTTTTCTGCAGCATCTCGGCTCTCCACCTGCTGATGCCAGGAGCAACGCCCCTCAGCCACCCAGCTGTGATAAGCAGGGCTGTCCCCAGTCCCCAAGCACTGTCGGCTATCTCTGGGGGCGGGGGAACAAGGCTGCCCCTGACTGAGCACCCCCCCCCCACACCCCTGACTGTGCCATCAGTGAGGACGGATTCTCTCCTCTCCAACAGAGCTGTGTCCAGCACCAGCACCTGCATCGTGCCCTGGGGCAGGGGACTAAGCCCGCTGGCCGCTGGCGTCTCTCCCCAATCTCTGCAGCTTTGCTTGGAGCTCCAAGGAGTGAAAACCCCTGTTGAAAAGGTTAGGGGGCAAGGAGCGTGAGAAAGGAACCACTAGGTGGTAGCAGAGAGACAGTGGTGCCCCCGCCGGAGCGCCCAGCCTGCAGCCCGCAGCAGGAAGAGGAGGGGGCACGTGGCCAAGGAGACAGAGCCTCTGAGAGCATGGTGGCTGCGGGAGGGGTCCGGGCAGGGCCCCCGTTCTCACGTCCAGCCAGGACCACAGGGACAAATTCATCCGCCTTCCTGGAGCAGCATGGAGCTCCCGAGCCGTCTCTCGTTCCGCTATGGAGGCTGCCGCTGCATCTTTTGGATGGGACGAGGCTCTGCCAAGACCCCTCCCACAGCCCTGCATCCTGGAGGCCCAGGGCCCAGGACCCCCTGGCAGCTCCAGGTGCTTCTGCATTTTGTGCCCAAAGAGCACTGCTTTGCAGGGTGAACTGGACGGACCAGCGAAGACCCGAGTGCCGTCAGGGCTGCGTGCACAGCCCAAGCACCTGCACAGAGCCGTCGTCTGCCCAAGCCACTTCCTGAAATTCTACTTCCGCCTCATCTGCACACTGTGCCTGGTGGATTTCGGGACCTGGCACACAGCCCCCGAAAACACCACAGCTCTCATGCAGGGACCACAGGACATGGAAGTGAGCGTGGACTCCACTGTGCACAAAGCTCCCAGGCTTTTTGAGACGTACTTTAGATGAAGCACCACAGATCAAATCGTTCACTCGAAAGCTGGGACAGAAACCACAGAGCTGAAATACTTGCTGAACCCCGTGTCTGATCCTGTTATCAAGACAACTTTTGGAATAGCGGCTGAGATCAGTGAACAGCCAGATGCTGCGTTTGTAGCCTCCTATGTAAGGTAGGGCCTGCACTTGACCTTTGTCTCAAAGGAGCAGAACATCTGTCCAGACCTCTTTCGTTAGAGACCCATCTACTCCTGCCATCAGGAAGCCATGAAGGACAAAGGATCTTCACCCCACTTCTCTCCATAGTTTCAGCTGTTGCTCAAATTCTGTCTGTCTGCCATGTGAACGGCTCCCCAGGGACTCGGCCCAACAGGAGCCAGTTTCTCACGTGGACATAGAAGGAAGAGGCGAGGGAGGGAGGGAGAGAAGGAGTGAGATGGCTGTAGAGGTACAGGTGCTCCAGACCTGAGGTTTCCAGCTGTCTTTGACAACACACTCTCGCCTCCACGTCCATCCCATCGGTGAACCCACACACACCTTACAACAGGTGCACGGAACCCGACCACGGGAGACTCTAAAACAATGCATTTTCCAGATTCTTCTGGAAAACCCAGTTTTATAAAAACGGGGCTGTTCCAAAAAAACATTTCAGACAAAAGACAAGCAGTGCCCTTACCAGCTCACGCTGGGCGATTAACTCCCCAAGCGCATGAGTGGAGAGGGATTTCAGAAAATGTGGATCAACAGTGGCCTAATTTAATTTGGGGGACAATGATACATTGATCTTTTTCCCCCTTGACAATGTTAAGAGGGACGTTTTAGTTCTCATCAAACACAGTGGATTGGCCTCAGGGGGACTTGGGCTGTAGCTTGAATGTGAGACGGGAGACAGGACAGAGTGTCTGCAAGCTGTGACTTTACAACCCCTGATGTGGGAGACTTCAGCTCTCCCAGAAACAAGAGAATTACTCACACCAAGGGACCCAGAAATGTGAATATTCATTATCTAAAAAGTGAAAAGTTCCACGGTCATCTTCCGTGCACAACCAAACATTAACATAAAACACGTGGGCAGCCGGATGAGCCGCCACCTGCGGATTCATCCCTTATGGGCACCGGTTCAAGTCCCGGCTGCTCCACTTCCTGTCCAGCTCCCTGCTAATGCGCCTGGGAAAGCAGTAGAAGATGGCTCAAGTCCTTGGGCCCCTGCACCTGCGTGGGAGACCTGGAAGAAGCTCCTGGCTCCTGGCTTCAGCCTGGCCCAGCCCCAGCCATTGTAGCCATGTGGAGAGTGAACCAGTGGATGGAAGACCTCTCTCTCTCTCTCTCTCCCTCTCTCTCTCTCTGTAACCCTGCCTTTCAAATAAATAAAATGAGTATTTTTAAAATGACAGATGCAGCAGCCTCATGGGGGAGGAGACATACAACTCTGCTCCTTTCAATGGTGGGACTTGGGGTGTTTTCAGTAAGAACCTTTACAAGATAGGGTGGAACGTGTTGCATTTAGATTCTCCTGTGATTTCAACTACACCTGGATGATAGGGAGATAATTTCAGGGCTGGATTGTTTTTGCTAGGAGTCTGAGTTGTGTGGATGTGACACAGACTTCCCATGGGTCACTGCGCTGGGCATTTGCACCTGACACTGAATTCTGGGAAAGATCGGGTGCTGCAGTCGGCCTGAGGTTGGCTGAAGTCTCCTGGGCCTACACGGAGGGGGGGCCTGAGGTCCCGGGATACTCACAACCCAGCACCACTCTGACCTGTACACAGTCGGTGCTCACTAGAGAGAGGCGAGAATGCTAACCAAAAGGGCCTCTTTGTTGGCCAAGACCACTTTCCCTTCCAGGCGAAGGTGCACGGGGCCGCAGGCGCTCACCTTAGCTTCTGGCCAATCCTCCCCTCTTCCCGGAGGTACTTTTGTCTCTCCTGTTCCACCAGGGTGCGCTGTCGCTGCACGGGGTCCTCCAGGCGCCTCATGGTCTCTGCGACTTTGCTGCTGATCTCCAGCTCTGCCTTTTTTATCATTGTGCGCAGCAGTTCTTGGTTCTGCAGCTGCGGAGCGAAAGAGATGGACCTCAGCGCGTGCTGGGAGGTCACAGCCCTGCTGCTTTTTAATGTATTTATTTCAGCGAGAAAGGCAAGGGCACCCACGCTGCACCGGGCACTGCTGCTTCTCCCAACAACATCTGAGTTCCAGCAGCCACCAAGCAACCAGACCCGTGTGCCTATGTCTGCCACCTTTGCATAGGGAGGGAGCAGTCGAGGGCCCCAGTTCTGCAGCCACGGACGCTCTGGGTCAGAGCCCCCAAAACTTCTCCTAGCTCACGGGGAGACTTTGCACTTCTCTCTTAGGCTTTCTTGATCTCTGTTGGAAACGGGCTGGGTGTTTGTCCCCTCCAAAACTCACACTGAACCTGAGTCCTCAGGGCTGGTGCCATGGCTCAGCGGGCCACGCTGCTGCCTATAGCATAAATAGCACCTATAGTATCCCAAATGGGTGCCGGTTTGAGTCCTGGCTGCTCCGCTTCCCACCCACTCCCTGGGAGCAGCAGTGACGGCTCAAGTGCTTGGGTGCATGTGGGAGACCTGGATGTCGCAGGCCTTTGAGGAGTGAATTAGCAGACGGACGATCTCTGTCTCTCTCTGCCTTTCAAATAAAATGAAAAACAAATCATGAAAAATGTCAAAATCCCATCATCCTCAGCCATATGCAAATAGTATTAGAAGGTGGGGCCCGGGGCCGGCCTTGTGGTGCAGCAGACTAAGGATCTGCTTGCTGGCATCCCGTTTCCAGGTCCCAGCTCCAGCCCCGGCTCCTCTGCTTCCAACCCAGCTCCCTGCTGTTGCACCTGGGAAGGCAGCAAGGGACGGCACAGGTACCTGGGCTGTGCCGCCCACGTGGGAGACTCAGATGCAGTTCCTGGCTCCCGGCTTTGGTCTGGCGTAGCCCTCAAGGATTCTGCATGGTGCAGAACATGTCCTTAACAAACGCTGATCTGGCCAGGAACCTCTTTAGAGTGTCACTTAAAGGAGACGCTGCCTCTGTCTCGGGTGCACGGTTCCATGCGCCAGATAGCATGAAATCGCAGGTCCTTGGAACACGTGACTCGGCGATGGTGGCGTTGAGTGTTCTAGATGTGCCCAGGGCTCTTGGCAGCTTACCCATTTCCCAGGCTCTAACATGGGCTGCTTTTGTCCCCAAGCCCACGATGCCCATATAGTTTCCGGAACACACTTGTGCCTGCAACTATAGAGGAGTACAGGGAAGAGCAAGGTGGCCACCAGGATTCCCCCATCGACAGTAATGATGGTCTGCCTGTTACACAATCCCTCCAGTTCCTCTGCAACTTCAATGGACACGGTTTGGTGGCCGCCTGATTGCACAGACAGGTCTACACTGCTGTGGCTGTCCCTGGCCTCAGGCCAGTCCACTCTCTGCGCACGTGGAGGGGCAGGGCAGCCTGATTGGTGACACCTGCTAGAAATCTCATCACAGCCTCCTTCTCCTCTAAAGCACAACCCTTCCTGCATGGGCCCCGCTGGGTCCCAACACGAGCCTGGCCTCCGACAAAGACTGCCAGGGGCTCCCTTTCTGGTGTCACCACCTCGGAGCCTGGTGACCAGCGGCCAGCTGTCAATCTCCGTGTCTGTCCATCGAAAGGTGGAAGTAACAGCTCACGGCTCACAGGCTGCTTGTGCAGATCCCGCGAGATGGTAATGAGAGGGCTGATGGAGGTGCCTGGTAGAGTTCTAGCCCTGAGCGCGTGGCAGCTGTTGCTACCGGGGAGCCTGAAGCCGGGGGCGGGGCCTGCGGTTCAGTCTGGGGCGGAATAGAAAGAACCATGCCAGTCTCTGTGATCTGTGACTCAGCACCACGTCACTCACGTTGCTGGCTAAAGTCCTTTTATTAGGGTCTTCCAAACAGCCGGCCAGGCACTATTTGGCTTGCTGAACACAATCAGTGGCGGGGGGGGCGGCGGGGGGCAGCACTCAGAGGCCAGCTTCCTCCTGGGCGCTCTGCTGCTGCCGCTTCGCCCACGAGGCGCTGGGCAGGGTGGCGCCTCTGTCTGCGGTCGGGCACCTCCCACTGCACGCGTCCTGCACCCTCTCCAGACCGGGCACTCTCCTGTCTGCCGCAGGCATTCTGGAGCTGCAGGTCCCAGCTCCTGTTCCATTTCTACTCTCGGCAGAGTCTCTGGGAGGCTGTGAGAAGCCTGCTAAGGAGCTGTTGAATGTAGACTGAACCGAGCAGGGATGTTGGACAATCACAGCCAACCGTGGCGAATCCGAAATTGTTGTCTAAGACGGTGAAATCGGCAGTGACCATGGTCTCGCTGGGAGCAGATATGAACAATGGCAACCAAGACGGAAATTAGCTGCCGGGATATCTGAACAAACTTGACATCCATCCAAGCTCAAGAGATGGGAAACATGGAGCCCCCAGAGTTCAAATGACTTTTTTGGGGATCGCCTGGCAATGACAAGGCACAGGCAGGACTGGGACCCAGTCATTCGATCTCAACCCAATTGCTTGCCCCCCCCGAACCCCCGGCCCCAAGGTGCACTTCTAACTAAGACAGGAACCCTGCCTGCTTTGTTTGCGGCTCCAATCACAGTTCCTGGCACACGGCAGGTACTCCCCCCAACATGAGGGAACTTCAAGAGCTCACGGCACGTGCACATCCTGAGAACGCGAGGCATGGTTTCAAAATCTCTTGCACCATTCGTCTTTGAATACCATTGGTTTTCTCAAGTACCCGTGGGTATGTCCTGCAAATCAAGGTCGAAGCGACACCTGTGAGAAGGCAGTGGCCGTGCTGGGAGAACTCCAGTGCAGGAAAGAACCGCGTGCGACTTGACCCACTCCATCAGACGAGGAGCAGGGAGAGAGAGAGCATTCCAGTTTACTACCAGACTTCCCAGAAAGAGGGGCTGGGTGGGATCCCACCAGGGCACCAAGAAGGCATTTTTCACGGCGCATGCAGGCAACAGCAAGTAGATTACGAATACGCCTCTGTGTAGTTTCTCTGTGCAGTCTCCTCCGCCCCCCACCTGATCTGTCTGGTGTTCAAGCCACAGCTCTGTCCCCGTTCCCCCCAGCAGAGAGCAAAGAGTCCCAAAGCCCGGATAGGGATCTTATGGCTTCCAGTAAGTCAGTTCTCAGCAGCTCAGACCATCAAGTTGGGAGGTGAGACCTCGACTACAATTGTTAGAAACAATTAATCAACTCTACGGAGGTACAGTTTAAGAATGATGAAATGCACGCGTTGCAAATGCACGGTGCAGTCAGGTTCGACAAAGCCACAAATGAACAGGGAGACAACACTTTCTGCCACCTCAGATAGCGCCTTCACGACCCTCTGCCTTCAACGCCCTACCCCCAGCCCAAGGAAACCACTAACCCACTCCTGTCACTGTGCGTTAGCTTCTCCAGCTCCGGAAAGTCACAGGAATGGAATCGCACCCGTAAGAGCGCACTCCCTTGTGTCTGGCTTCTTTCATTCCAGGCATTATTTTCGACACGCAGCCGTGCATCCCATCTTCCAGGGAGTCATTCTTTATAGTGCGGAGAGGTGTTGTGCATGCGCCTACTAAACATTTTAGCTTTGTATACATTGACTTGATTCTGGTGATCTTGCCAAATTCACTGATTTTCTTTTGTAGGTTCCGAGCTCCTGACTTCAGACATACAATGATGTCATTAGCGAGTATAGACAACTATACTTTTCAATTCCCATCTGTCTGCCTCTGTGTTATTCCTTGGTCTTACTGTGCTTGGTAGGCTCTTCTGTATGGTGTTACAGGGAATCGAATGCCAGGTCTGGCCCGGAATTTCACGATGCTGTGGTCTGATTAGTACTTTGGGTGTTTAAGGGCCCGCAAGTCTTATGTTAATGGTTAATGGATTGGGGACTGGCATTGTGGCACAGTGGGTTAAGATGCTGCCTGTGATAACAGCATGGGTTTGAGTGCTGGCCGCTCCGCTTCCTATCCAGCTCCCTGCTCCTGTGCCTAGGAAAGCAGCAGAAGATGGATCAAGCACTTGGACCCCTGCGATCCGCATGGGAGACCTGGATGGAGTTCCTGGCTCCTTGCTTCAGCCTGGCCCAGCCCTGGCTGTTGTGGCCATTTGGGGAGTGAACCAGTAGATGGAAGATCTATCTCTGTTTTTGTCTCTCTCTCTCTCTCTCTCCCTGTGTCTCCGTAACTCTGCCTTAAATAAGACTTTTAAAATGGTTAATGGCATTGGGGTATGAACTTTGATTATGGTGTGAGAAGGTGGGGCTTTCGGGACGTGATCAGATTTGCTGGGGTCACTGGTGGAGCCCCTGATTAGTCAGGGTGGTTTTACATGGAGGGACGGCACAGACGCAGGTGGGGAGCCTGCTTCCTCTCTGCCTCCTGGCTCACCGAGTGAGCCTCCTCGGCTCCCACCACCCACCTCCACCATCAGACGCCGGATCAGTGGGGCCATGCGATCTCGTACTGTGAACCTCCAAACACTCAGCTGCCCTACAGCTCCTTCTGCCAGTGGCAGTTTCTCTCGGGAATTTGTGTGACAAAAAGCTGACATACAAATACTGGGAATGTGTCTAGTGTTTCCTAATCAACTATAATGCGTCTGTAGGTTATTTTGGGTATCCTCCATCAGGTTAAGAAAGTTTCCTTCCAGGCCGGCGGTTCCCATATGGGCGCTGGTTCAAGTCCCAGCTGCTCCACTTCTGATCCTGCTCTGCTATGGTCTGGGAGGGCAGTGGAGGATGGCCCAAGTCCTTGGGCCCCTGCGCCTGCATGGGAGACCAGGAAGAAGTACCTGGCTCCTGGCTTCGGATGGGTGCTGCTCCAACCGTTGCAGCCTTTTGGGGGGTGAACCAACGGATGGAAGACCTTTCTCCTTCTCTCTCTCCTTCTCTCTATCCATAAACATAACTCTCAAATAAACAAACAAAAATCTTTAAAAAAGATAAAGTTTCCTTCTACTCTTAGTGTGCTGAGTGTTTCTATCATCGACATTGAATTCTGACCCCTGCTTTTCCTGCCTTTACTGAAACAACACGGTTCTCATCCTACATCTTGTTCAAGAGGTCAAGTTCATCGCTTAGCTTTTTCATACTGAAACCACCCTGGAAGAACGGGTCATCCCTTTTGTAGATGGCTGGGTCCAACGCTAATATTTTGTTAAGGAACCTTCAGTTTCCATGAGGGATATGGGCCTGTGGTTCTCTTTTGTTGCATCTTTGTCTGGTTTGAGCTGGGCCATGTCCTCTGTCTTATGAACGTTTTCTCTGCTTGGAGGAAAGACGCTGTCTGCAATCTTCCACCTCGTCTTGTTTCTGATGAGCGGCTGGCGCTTTCTCCTTTACATTTCCCTGTCTGCAGTGTCCCTCTCTCCCCCACTTCCCCCAGCTATTTTTAAGATGTCCTTGTTTATCCCTGGTGTCGAGCAACTTGGCCGCGATGTGTGCTCTGTCACTTCCTTTGTGGTTGGCGTTCTGGGGGTTTTCTCAGCTTTTGTGGTTTTTGGATTTACAGATTTCCGAATTTGGGAAAAATCTCAGATATTATCTCTTGAACTATCTTTCCCTCTCTCTTGGACCACTTACCACTACCCCACGGGTCACTGTAGTTCCGTTCACTGTCTTCACGCCTCTGTCTATGCTTCCGTCTGGACAGCCTCTATCATGTTTTCAAACACATGTTCAGGCTGTGATTAATATTCTATGAGGTCCATTCAGACTCTGTGTTTCCCAGCTCTTGAAGACCCTATTTCGGCACCATGTCTAGTGATTTCTGATTGGATGCTGGGCATGGGACGTGCACTCCTGCTGTTCTCCTTTCTGGGTTGTGGACTCCTGGGAGGCTGCTGCATCGGGGACGGACTTTGCTCTTCAGAGACTCGTTTTCAGAATCAAGGGCAGCCGTCCTCCAGGGCTACTTCAGCACCAAGACTGAAACCCAGTGGCGTAACTCCGCCTCTCCACGCTTGCTTGTCAGAGGGTGGTCATCTCCCAGGCTGTGTGAGCTCGCTACCACACGTGTGTAGCTTACTGCTCACTCACAGACCCACAAACGTCCGTAGCACCTTCTCACACACTCTCTACATGCTGACCTCGCAGCTCCGATGACCGTGTCCTGCTCGCCAGCTCTGGGTCTGCGTCGTATCTGCGTGGTGCCTCCATCCAGAAAGCCGGGTGAATCCTAAGCTTCCCTTCTCTGTAGGGTCACACTCCCGCGCTGTGTGCTGTCCAATGTTAACACCGTTGCATTGTGTATTTATCTACTTTCCACTTTTCTAGCCGCTAACAGCAGGAAGGCCAGGCGTTTCTCCCTCCTGCCTGGAAGCACAGTTCATTGACAAGCATCCTTAGACAGAAATAACGCTCCTGGCCATTAAAGTCTTAATTGGACCACATAAGCTACCCATAATAACTTCATGAAGAAACTAGAAAGTTACTTAAACCTAATTCCACCCACCTCCAAAGGGACCTGTAGTTCACATACCCAATCCTGGTTTCTTAGGCAAATCCTGAGACTGTGGGGCTTGCCCATAGGGGGCGCCATAACCGCACTGACTCTGGCTTTGCTCCTCAGCAGGTGCCCTGCACAGTCTGTGAGCGACAAGTCCAGGAGTTCCATGATGACAGCTGGGCTCCAGACTGAGCCCTGGCTCCTGACCACGTTCCTCCAGGCTTCAGGGACCAGCTCGAGGGTGCCTGGTCACAGCTGTATGTTCTGCGGGTGCTGTCTCTGCATCTCCCACAGCCTCTGGCTGTCGGGGGATGTGACAAAGGCTTGGAGTAAATGGCAGTCCAACATCAATCCCTGTGCTGGTTCCACTGCCTGTCCTCCCCCGCTCCACGTGGACCACGCCCCAGCAAGCTCTCCGTGGGGACACACGCTACCTTGGCTCTCCCTTTGGATGTCAGTGGGCCACTGGGGCCCTGGACCAGTTCTATCTGATGAGCAGAGAGGCGGAGACAACTGTTCTGAATGATATCCTTTCAAACACAAGAGATTTGGGTGCTGGGGCTCCTGTTCTATCTCCTCCCTCGTGTGGGAAGGGGCAGCAACTTCTCAGGAGTCTACAAAAGGCTACATTACGACCAGAATAAAAATAACTGAGTTTTTTTTTTTTTTTACTTTATCAGGAGGCAAGAGATGGAGTGAGCAACAGTGGGAATTTAGAGAAACACAATGCATCCATTCTCTTGATTTAGGTTGGGTCTCATCTGGCTCCCAAAGGACTTCTAGAAACTTCTCTCACCCCTCAGCGCCTTGGAGAGGGACCAAAGTACAGTCCCTTCTGTGGATATGGGATTGTCCTGATTATCCTAGTAACATCAGGTCCTGCGGCATCGTGGGAAAGACGCCGTCCCAGCTAATCACAGGCCACCTGTGGGCACGGGGACACGGCGCAGAGCCCCTGTCAGCTCTCCTGCCACTGTGTCACCCTCTGTGCTACCTCCAGGAGGGACCTCGGGGTGCTGAGCACTCCCAGAACCTGCTAGGCTCCCCCTGCCTACGCTCCAGTCCACACCGATGAGGTCGGACCCTTTCAAACAAATGAATCCTAGTAGACAGATGTGCGGGGAAGGGTGACCACGGGCTGCCCTCTGCCTTCCCAAACAGCCTCTGCCCTGTTGAAATCCACCCCCCCGGGGGGGGGTGCACCAGGTGTCCCCTCCGGAGAATCACCCATCAGTCCTGAAAGATGAACGCTCCAAGAGGACTTCCCGATGGCTTCATTATCCGATTTCCAGAGCTTGGCTGCCAAGCACAAGGCTTCACGCGGTCTCGCCGTTGTACAGTGCGGTTCCCAGCACATCTCAGCGTCTCAGCCCATCTCTGTTCTTGTGAGACCATGGCAGGGGCTTCCTTGTGTCTCTGGTGACGGCCCCACTGTCGGACGTGTCGGCGCGGTGGGCTCGTGCTTCCCTCTGGTTTGTGGGAACCCACAGGCTGGGGGAGAGCTGGGGCTGAGCGGCCCTCGCGAATCGTGGTGGGAGGGGCAGACGGTGGGCGGGGAGGGGAGCTGACGGGGACGTGGACCCCAGAGTCAGCCAGGGCACAGAACGAGGTGCCGCCCCCTCTTCCTGGTGTCTGCTCTTTATTCCCAGGAAGCCGGAACAGCTGGGCAGTGCTGGAACAAGCAGGGCGCTGGTGTGGTTCCCATGCCGTCCCAGACCTGAACCTTGACCTTGACCTGTTTGAGGAGGCTGTGATTCCGTCAGGAGTGGCCACTGGTGGGAGCCCGCCAGCTGTGCCCACCTTAGCCTCTGACACCTATGAAACATCCACGGCACAGTGTGGTTCACACCAAAGCAACTTACCCCTGTCTCCAACCAGAAAGGGCCCGGTTTGGAGAGCAGGTGGGTCCGGTGCACCACATGCCTTATTTCCTGCTGGGTCCAGTGAGAGCACAATTCCAGCATGGCCAGCAGGTGGCGCCAGAAGGCAGGGACAGTGTGTGTGTGTGAAGGGGCTTAACTTCCAGAAAGTCCTGGTTAAGAAAGGGGTTTGGGGGAAGGCCCTCTCTCCTGGAAACAGATTTCAGTGACTTTCCAACATTTTAAGGAAGAGGCATTGCACAGAAAGCCCATATTCCCAGATTCCCTCGAAGCACCAAAACACCTACGAACGCTGGTCTCACGGCATCCGGTTATCAGCTGGCTGGGTAGAGCGCACCACAGCCCACTGTCCCTTCTCTCTTCCACCTGCTGGACGAGGAAGCTATCTGACTCCGCGACCCTGCATGTAAGCCCTGCCCGACCTGGACACTTAATTTCATTGCAAAGTGTCTTAATTTTTTTTTTTTTTCTTTTTAAATGCGCGAGACAGAGAGCAAGCTCCTATCTGCTGGTTCGCTCTCCAAATGCCTGCAGCGGCCAGGGCCAAAGCTGGGAGTTGGAAATCCCTTCAGGGTCTTAGTAGGTGGCAGAGACCTAAGCCCTGCAGCCGTCACCAGGCACTGGGAAGAACCCGGATGTAGGAGCCGGAGCTGGAGCAGAACCCAGGCACTCCAGGGCGCAAGGTAGTGCCTTAACCACAAAGCCAAATGCTCCCCCCTGCAAAGTGTCCCTAAGACTGCAGAGCTCATACCAGCAGTGTGATGCCACAGACCAGAAGTGGACGTGCGCTGGCTGTCCAAGCACAGAGACGCAGCGGCCCTGGGAGCTGGGACGGTGGGCAGCCTGGTCAGGCCCATCTGGCGCTGGGGCCTCGGGGCAGGGCCCTCGGGCACACCACCCTTCTTGGCCCAGGGAAATCCCTTTGTCAGCCTTAGATAGGTGATGGGAGACTTCTCCATCGTGGAGCCCTGGAGGGAGATGGAGGGCACCAGGCTCCTGAGTGCGCTTGCTTTTAGCTCCCCAAGGGCAGGGCAGAAACCTGCATTTGGGTGACACCAGGCGAGGCCAGTGTTGTCCAGGCAGGGAGGTGTGAGGCCGACGCGGCACAAACGCACGGCGTCACAGAGACCGCAGCCCCTGGTTCCCAGGGCACAGATTCGTCTGCTTTTTTCCTATTTGTCAATCATGGTGGCCGAGCCCTAGGACAGGAGGAGGGGTCGGCCAGGGGGGAGAGGGACGCGCACGCTACCTGCAGCTGTCGCATCTGCTGCAGCTGGCGTCTGAGCTCTGCCACGCCACGTCGCATGTCCAGCAGGCTCAGGTGCACAGCCGAGGCGCCAGCGGGCACGGGTGGCCCCAGTGGCTCCGCGGGCTCCAGGGCGCCGAGGGTCTTCCCGCCGGCAATGTGGGGTGTGCCTGTGAGGAGAGAGCAGCGAAGGAGCTGAGAACGTGGGAAAGGGGGCCCGAGCTGCCTCCCGCCCCCAGCTGGCCCCTGGAACACACCCATTTCCCCCACACTGTGACCGTCACATCTAACGCACGCTGTATGACCCCAGCCGTGTTCCACCCGGTGAGGACCACAGGAAGGCAGCCAGAGGGCAGGTGCCGGGGTAAGGAAGCTAAAGGCCTGTGCTCCTGCCTGCCTGTCCGTCTGTCCGTCCGTCCGTCCGTCCGTCCATCCATCCATCCATCCATCCGTCTGTCCGTCCGTCCATCCATCTGTCCATCTGTATCATCTTTTTCTACCGATTATCTCTACCTTCTACCTACCTGTCCATGTACCCATGATTTATCTATCTCACTACGTATCTACTTATCTCCTAGTGTAACTTGCGTCTGCCTTTCTATATGTAATCCTTATCTACCTTTCCACCTACTTTCTCTACCTACCTACTTAGCTATGCGTCTGTCTCCACCTACTTTCTATCCACCTGCCTATTACTATTACCTATCTGCCTAATCCTATCCACCTTGCCACCCACTTATCTCTATCTACCTACCTACTGGTCTGTTGTCTCTCTCCTTCAAACAACAGATTTGGGCAAAGTTAGCAGGTGCAGGTTGGCATCGCTTATCCACACCCCCTGGGACCCGAAGGGACTGCAGATCTGGGAAATATTTGCACAGACCGGACTGGCGGCAGCCCCAACTTGAAAATCCAAAATCGGAAAATACGTTAACCATCTGCAACCGCATGGCACACAAAAAAGCTTCTTCAGATTTTAGGGCATTTTGGGGTTTTTGGATCCAAAGGAGTAAGGGAGTCTCCAGCTGGTTGCAGTTCCAAATGTTTATGTTTTTTATTACTATTTTTTTGTATTTTCAAATCACGGTGAACATCTATCCCTTTATCATAGAAAAATTAATTTTAAAGTTCTGCAACCCATTACAAGGGCTCTTAAAATGCCTATTATGGAAAACCCACAGCTGGATTTCAACATCGTTGTATCATTATCAACGTATTTTTTCATTTCCTGGGAATGGTGTGCGTGTGCGTGCGTGGCCGTCTCCCGCACAGCAGCGAGTAGACCCGCGTCCCACCCTCAGGCAGAGCTGTGGTTGATCACCACTGGTCGAGGGGTCTGCTCGGCTCCCAGACCAACCTGCCCTGCCTCCCCTTGACAGAGAACGTGAACACAACCTAGGGTTCTTCATGGCTGGGTGGCTGTGCGGGACAAGGGTCTCCCACGGGCACGGAAAGGATGTTGCAAAGGGGTCCAGCAGACCTGATCTGACCTTTCCCACTCTGCTAGAGCCAGGGTGCCTCACGCCACCCCCAGTTCCAGCTCTGACCGGCTTCTGGCTGTCTGCTGTCCCCCCACCACCCCCCAAATCGGAATCAGCCCCAGAAAGGGGCTCACAAGAGGCTCCTCCAGTTGACTTGCCAGGAACAGTGGCGGGTCAGAGGAGCACGGCGCCCTCTGGTGGCAGCTGCTCTGAGAGTGGTCACGGCCACCCACGCGGCTCATTCCCAAAGCAGAAGCACAGGCATGCATGTGCCCACACACACACACACATACACACACACATGCACACACACAACGAATGACAGCATCACCGTGTTCTTCAAAATCGACACCAAGCCAGTGCCAACACGGGTTCAGGAGCTGGCCAGACCGGCTGTCACTCGGACTAGCCGCGTGCTTTTTGTTTCTGCTTTCTAAGCTGACGGGCAGAGACACAGAGAGTTTCCAACTGTGGGTTCCCTCCTCAAATGCACAGCAGCCGCGACTGGGCACGGGAAAGCCAGGAGCCGGGAGCTGCATCCGGGTCTCCATGTGGGTGGCAGGGACCTGATCAGAGCCATCCCCACTGCCTCCCGGGGTCTACACCAGCAGGAGGCTGGAGTCAGGAGCGGGGGCCAGGACGGCCTGGGCCTTGGATGGTGGGTGGGCACCAACCTCTGGGGCGAAGGCTTGCCTTTGGCGGTGCGGCTTTGAATAAGGAAGCCAACCTCACTGAGCGGTCTCTTTAATACAGACGACAACTCCCATCATAGGGACACGCGTGTTGAATGATCCGACACCGGTAGGCACTGGATGGGGAGCATCCCTCCGTCTCTTCCGCCGCCTCGGATTCCACTTCCGAAGAAACCTGCAAGTACTGGTTTCTACAGGTTGCACACCATGGCCACCATTCCGCTTCCTCGTCTATGCTGCAGGGACCCTACCTCCTGCCTTGTGGCTCGCTTCCTGGATTCTGCAGCAACGGACACATTCTGGGCACCATACAGGGCTCCCACTGCATGAGACCCAGCCCTGACGGGCTCCAAGGGCAGAGACGTGGGACCGAGGGAGCATGTGTGCGTGGGGGATGCTGCTGTGGCGTCACAGACGGAAAACCCGGCAGCTGGACTGTTTGTCTTTCAGACTTGGCTGATGTCCCACTGGGGGAAAAGGACCCAGGGGAATCCGCTTCGCTCCTTCCCTGCACCCGTAACAGGCCCTGGTCCCTTTGAAGGGACTGGGGTAGCTCAACACAAAAGGAGAGGCAGTGACAGCAGACGGTATCCATGTGTTTCATACATGTGGAACACGGGACTTTGGAATGCTCCTTTTGGTTAAGATGCAGCTTGGGACACCCATCCGTATACAGAAGCTGGGGTTCAGGTCCGGCTCTGCTCCCCAGCCAGCCCACTGACGGAGCTCCTGGGAGGTAGCACTTGGGTCCCTGCCACCCACGTGGAGATGGATAGAGTTCTAGGCTCCTGGCTATGGCTGGCCTGGCCCTGGCTATTGGCCGGGGGGTGCGGAGGGCATGGGGAGTGAACCTGCAGACGGAGATCTCTCTCTCTCTCTTCTCTCTCTCTCTCTCTCTCGATGTCATACCTTTCCCTTGAGGCTGCCATCACAAGTAGGAAACACTGCCAGACGTGCCCGACACGCCAGTGCTGCCTGCTGCTGTTATCCCCCCAAAGTGAAGAAGGGGAGGGGGCCTGGCCCCGTGGATAGGCGCCGGCATCTCATGGGGGCATGCCTCAGGTCCCGTCCCAGCTCCACTTGGATCCAGCTTCCTGCTAATGGGGACCCTCGGGGGGGCAACACACCATGGCCCAAGACCTG